TAAAGGATGCAAAGGGTGGGAAGATAAGTAGACCTACAGTCCTCAGACATCTAAATTTTTCATGAAGTGATGCAAATTTACTCTACGACTGGGACGAGTTACAGATATATAAATCTCATATAAATAATACCGATATATAGTCTTTACATAGTACTTTGAAACATTTCTTACAATAAATTCCTATTTGTATAACTACCAAATCACACATTTTTATTTAGCATTTGCCAAATAGTATTCCTGGAAGACTACCAACTCTCTCTCCCCCTTCCTTTTCCCTCTTGCTCACCCATAACCAAGCCCTCAACACATACACACAAATGGAAACACACACCGTAAATAAGAGTTATTTCCCATTTTGAAACATCCTATTAGATGACTTCTTTGGTACCTTACATTACTTCATATTTTGCTTTTCTTGTTTGGGAAGTTGAGCAGTATTTAATATGTGAGCTGACCATTTGAATCCTCATCTTTTCTACCATGTTCTTCATTCTCCCCCGACTTTGGAACTTTCATCAAAAAGATGAAATAAAAGAAATATTTGTCATTTCGAAGAAATAAAACCACTTACCTCTCATACTTATGATACTTTTCCCTGGGTTTAAAATTTTGTTTATGGTGTTTTATCATATACAAGCTTCTTAATTTCTGTATTTCTATTATTATTTGAATCATTATTTAGCTGATCTGCACTCTTACGGTAAGTGATAAAACAGAAAGCCCAATTTCTTGCAAACGGTTTCCTATCACACCACCATTTACTTTATCTTCCCTTTCATCACTGATCTATATATTCACTTTTACTACAGGCTAAACTACCTTTTAGTTGGACTTTAAACTTTTATTGTGCTCATTTTGTTGCAACAGTCTTAGAATACATTTTAATTAACTTAATGGGTAAATGACCTCATAATTATATCTTTGAATCATTCATTCTACCAATGAACTTTAAAGTCAACTGGTCACTCTGTACACCTTTAAAAATATTCTTGAGTTTTTAAATTGGGATTGTATTAAATTAAGAGTCATAGCTTTTGGTTTATTCAAACTATCCTATAATTGCTTTAATCTAGTCTATTTTTTTTATTTTTCTTGAATATTATATATTTCATTAAGGTGGCCATTTTTATTAGCATGCATCAGCACTGTCTAAATTATTTTAATGTACTCTTTTATTATAATAGCCAGTTTCACCTACAAACTGAAACATTTTATGTGGGCACTTCTTAAACTTTTTTTGTCTTTCTCTATTTACCATCTTAAATTTTTCCTAGCTTCTTGAGTGAATGTCTGATTAATTTATTTTCATTCTTAACTAAAAATGAATCCATTAAATCACATAAATTTCTTAGGACAATGCTGACCACAATCTCATTAAGTTTTGATATGTACTATCACTAGCATTATTTTTGAATTGTTTGTTTCAGTATCAGTATCTGGACCTACTCTTTGACACAAAGGTATTCAGAGTAGTTTTCAGTTTACTCTCTTCAAGATAATCTATTTGTCTCTCTTAATATTTATTTATTTGGGATTCTGGTTCAGAGAATGTAGATGGTGCAATTTATCCTGTTGTAGAACCAAACCATTTCCAAATACCCCAAGACTACTATCAATAATATGCACCCTCTGATGCAAAGTACAACATGAGACAAGTACCTGTTAAACCAAGTTTAACTCCTCTCACTCAAAGAAAAATCTAGTCTTTATAATTGCCTAATAAAGTCAGGCATCAAGTGGCCTCCATTATGTTTTAGCCCATTTCTACTTTTCTCTCTCTTGCTCACTTGTCTCCAGTCACACTGGACTTCTACATCATGTCAGGCATGCTTCTCCCTTAGGGCTTATTATCTCTGCCTAGAATGTCTTCCAGAGATATTCATATGGCTTGTTCTTTCCCCTCTTTGTTCAAGATAATCTATTTTTATTACTGTTAGTATTTCTCCAACTAGACTGGAAGCTTGGTTGCAGCAGGACTTTCTATCTTTTAGTTTTCATTTAGTAATATACCCAGAGCCTATAACAGTGTCTGAAGTAAAATGTACTCAAAAAAGATCTGCTGGCTGAATAAATGAATACTTAAAAAGCAAATGCTCTGAAGCTTTAATGCCTGGGTTAAAATCTAAGCTCCCTCCTCTTAATAGTTATATTACCTTGGGAAACCTCCTTAACTTCTCTGTGCCCTAGTTTCCTCCTCAATAAAATAGAAAACAATAGTAAAAGTACTTATCTCATAGGGAAGTTCTGAGAATTAATTAAATAATACATGTAGAGTACTCTGTGCAATGTCCATGAATAGTAAGTGCAAAATAAATGTCATTTACTATTACTACCTTAATAACTTTGCACTATACTTTTAAATCTTCCACTATGTTTAAGTTTCAATCAGTTTTTAAAAATTTGTAACAGTTCTTGCTTTACATATATCCCAGGGCTTTATACGTCACAAAAACAATTAGTACTTTGGGGGACTATACCTTTTATTTATTTGAAAAACTGTATTTTTATGCTTTTTACCTTGAGCTCTACTTTTGTCTGCATTTTTATTTTGTTGTTGTATTTGTTATTGTTTTTGTTATATTCTCTAGCATTCTTAAATTTGCCAAGCTAGTCCTCAACTATTCCTCTATTTTTAATCCTTTCAGAGTCAACTTGTTTTAGGTCTGTCTCTTCCAAAGTGTATAGCTAGAAATGAACTGTAAGGCTTTCAATGCGCCATGTCATATTTGTCCTATCCCGTAAATACTAGTAGGATTTCCTCCTCAACATCTTTCCTGCCCTCCAGTAGATACTGAAGTTGGAAACTTCTGGGAGACCCAGACTATTTTATCCTTTGACATGCTTTTATTCTGCATACAGTGATTCACAAGTTAGGCAGGTTTCCTAAGTATTTTTTTTGATCTTCTATAAATTCTTCTAAATTTTCAGTGTAAGGATAGCAATATATTACTGGGATTTCTTGTAAATGAAGAGGGTGGATGGATATTAACACATTAGTTCAGTGTATAATCTCAAACCAGAAGTCTCTTTTATCTCATGATAATAGTAAGTGCTGCTCTAAAAACTAAAAGCAAAACAAAATACTATCCTGATTGCTTTTTTTTCACCCAGATTCAATTTTTATTGCTTCTAGCTCATTGAGTTTGCTAGGAATCCCAAATAAATTTATATAAATGGCAATAGTAGAAAGTCTTTTCTTGTTCCTCTGTAATACGTTTGTCAATGCCCTGCAGCCAGAGACCAACAGCAAACCTGTAGTTGAACAAGTTTTACTTATTGCTCATTACAACAAAGAACACATCACACTACAGGTAAGAGAGAGGTGTCTCAGTAAGACGGTATTAGAAACAACTTAGAGGACAAAGACTCATGCTAAGTCATTTGAGAGAGAGTTCAAAAAAAGTGAGGCTTTGCCCTGGATTGGATTCTGTCAAGAAGTGGGGATAATTCTGTGATGAGTATCTAATACATCTTACTCTAGGACAGAAGACTACATTGAGACTCGAGTTGTAATTAGTTAGGAAGCAGCAATTGCATGTATTAACCAGGACAGGAGTGTTTGGCATTTTTTGTGGCTTGCACAGTGACTTTGTTCTTTTATGTGCTTAGAAAAGCTCATGCAGTGATCTTGTTTTTTGTTTCATTTCATCACAAACAGACTGGCCATGTCTGAAGTTCAAATCCTATGAGATTATGTTTAGAAGGAGAACACTGAGGCCTAGCTGTGAATGTCCTGTTTCCAAGTTCAGAGACTGCTGGTCCCTCTCAAGATCTTAAAGTAAATTTCAATTTACTACTTTAAATATTCTTCCTACACATTTCATTATATCATAAAAACACCAGATCTGATATTTTCATGGCTGTTCAGAAATAAAATACAAAGCAACCTATGAACTTGCTACTTTAAAAAATAGACCAAATACATGCATGCATGCAAAGGTAACACAGGATATGCAGAGTAGTCACATAAACTAACCATAGAAGTTACAGAGGTAATCATCTAAGTAGTGGGAAAAGAAAAATACAAACATAAACTGATGATCCAAAAGACTTTTCTTTTTACTTTTAGTAAAAATAACTGCATTATCATGTAAAATGAGTATACAAATGAACATGCATTAAAAATGCTTCATATCTTTTACTTCATTCCTTTTACTATAAAGGATAACATTAGGACAATCTATAAAGTCTGAATAATAGTACTGCATCAATGTAAACTTCTTGAATTTTAAAATTACATTGTGATTACATAAGACAATATCCTTGTTTTTAAGGAAATACACACTGAAGTATTCAGAGATAAAGGAACATTAGGTCTTATTCAAACAATTAAGAAAAGAAAACTATATGTGTATATATGTAAGAGGCAGAATGAGAAGGATGTAGCAAATATAATCAGATGTTAACATTTGGACAATCTGGATAAAGGATATAAAGAAATTGTTTATACCATTCTTATAACTTTTCTCTAAGTCTGAAATTATTTCAATAAGTTAAAAAAAAAGTTTGGTCTCAAAATTAGATTCAAGAAGTATCAGCCTCCCTGAGTAACAGATGAAGAGAATAAAAGTCAAAATAGTCATACAAATAATTAGAAGAGAGATGAAGCTAGAGTCTATTTTACTCAAGCCTGCAGTTTATCTTCCAGAGAAAAGCTTCACATTTCAACACAACCATGTGTCATAAGATTGTCAATAGATTAGAAGAACCTTATATCCCTGAGAGAAACAATGCCTTGATTATTTATAATTTCCTCTTACAGAATTTTCTTCCTCTTGGAGTATGATGATACCAGTATGTTAATAAAAATTTCTCATTATTGATGAACAAATAAATAGCTGACTATGCATGAAAACTATCCAAGTCTTATCTATGCCACAGCATTCAAAACAGCTGCCTTTATGACAGGACACTCCAGTAAACCAATCTATGATTTACAACTCAGGAGATTATATTCATATATATACCACTAAAACAGGCTGTTAAACGTTGTCATTTACCTGAGAACTGCCACTGAAACCTGGAGGCTGGCTGTATTCTGTGGAATCAATAATACTACTGCAAAATGAAGACAGAAAAATGATTTCAGTGTTTACATTATTTTAGCAAGAGAAAAAACATATCTAAAATGTATCATATATAAATCCAGTATTTTACTTTCTAAGCAAAGAAATATTTACTGCCAATAATTTAATTAGATATCAAATAAATGCATAGCTCATAAATAAAATATCAGCAAATATTCCAACAATTTACCCCTTTCATGCTACCACCTTAAACATACACACCATGAAAAAATGTCAATAGGGAATAATCACAAAACAGGTATATACATAGATGTATATTCCTCAATTTCATTTCAGATAGTAGTTAACAAGATGTTTAGAACTCTATTTAAGGACCAGAGCACTGGGAGAAGAGCACAGGCATGCAATCAAAAGCTATGATTAACAGATCCTGCTATGTCACTAAAGACCTACATGCCCTTAAACAAGTACCTTATACTCATTTAGTTTCCTTATATACAGTTAGATGATTGGGGACTAGCTATCTCTAGATTATCTAGAGTCCCTTATAGCTCTAAAATATTATGATAATCAACTCATGTGAAAGAAAACTATCAAAGGAATGGAATAAATAAAATGATAAAATACCAATGATCTTTCTTTCATAACCCAAAACCTATACACTAGTTTTCTCTGCTCTGGTCAAACATAATCTCCTTTCTATATTAGTTCCTTTTATTCTTTTTATTTTATCTGTGCATTCTCCTACATAACCCTAGAAAAACCTGTAGAAGTCCAGACTATCCTTTTTCTATTAGTTCTATCTTACCATTTCTATTTTATCACATCATCACACCTATATCTTTTCCATCTTTAAATAAATGAGCCTATGAAGACTACTGATGCTTGAAAATGACATTAACATATATATATAAACCATGATAAACCTACAATTTTTATAATTTAAAAAATTCTCCTTTCCTACTTCTACTATAAAAATGTTTATATTCTTGTCCACTAACTAAATTTAAGCAATCAAATTAAACTGACTAAAATGGTTCTCTCTCCACAAATACACAAAATCATTATTTACTTTAGTACTCAGCCTCAAAACATGAGAGGCACTCTTAAAGCAGAGTATGATGCAGGTTTGAATTTTATCCATTAGCAGCTAAATGACCCTGGGTAAGTTATTAATCTTATTTGACCCTAGTTTTTCCACCTATTAAATGAAGAAGAGATGTCAGAAAAGTATGAGATTTAAATAAGTATGTTAAGTTCTCAATACAATGCCTAACTATGGTAAACATTCAATAAATTTTTTATCCTGTATTAATAATATTAGTAATACAGCCTCATTATTTCAAAACTATAATAAATCAGATGGAACTATCCTCCCAGTAACCTTAAATAAAATGTAACACATATTAATAGATCTTAATTCACTGTGTTCTTAACTGTTTATATAATAAGGCTCAATAATACAAGAAAGAGCCTTCAAAGCACTTACACTAAAAATTATAGAATACACAATCTTGTAATGGGTTTCTCTTGATGAAATATAACCAGTGCTCATCTTCCTTGCAGAGTCATGCACTGGTATGACAAAATCACATGCTATTTTCAATATACTCCATCCAGGGACTACGAGGGCTACAAATGTCAAGATGCCATGCATTCAGAATCTCTTCTGTTCCTTTTACTAATGAAATCTAATCCCCTAGGCATCTGTATAGACATTAACAAAATTATGTGGCTGCAAATTTAGAGGTCAACAGAACTGAGCAATGTTTAGATATACTTTATTATGGGGTTATAATCCACATTTCTTTGACTGTAAACCTGAACAGTAATAGTTACAGATCAGTGTATATAGTGAGATAACACTACATTTCAAATACATGTTAAAAAAATACTCATCAATATGTTTAAGATACTGGATAAAGGTTTAAACGGTGTTTCATTAACAACGACTGCAGAGTTTGAACTTCGTATTAGATCTCAATCTTATTCAGTAAGAAAAATTTGTTAATGCATACAGGACTGCAACAGAAGGAAGATGAAAAATAAACACCTTTAATTCTGCTTTTTAAGTGTGTGTGTGTGTGTGTGTGTGTGTGTGTGTGTGTGTGTGTGTGTGTGTGT